TAGTTAGGAGGTCCATAATCTCAGCTTTAAGATCCTTAATAACCCTTGGATGGATGCCGATCAGGGCCTGGTGATATGGAATATACTTCAAAAGTAGCTGAAGCAATTAAAAAAAAACTTTTCAAAAAACCTTTTGAAGAAACAAATCACTGATAATCTCATATTCAGTATCGGGAAGAGCAGTTGACAGTTCCCAAGCAGAGAATTAACTCTTACTTTTCTGAAGAGAATCTACCATGCCCTTACAACAGGCAGAAGTTCTGCTCTGCTGAAAGTAAAGGCAATGTCGGCATACTTCAACTGAACAGAGTGATGTTGCAGATTGCAAGTGTCCAAATAAAAGAGGGAAGATAGTACAACAAACCTGCACTTACCTGCCCAGCTTCAGACATGTGAAGTATACAGGTAGTCCTCATTTAACGACCACTCATTCAGCAACCAAAGTCAGACCACTTGTTCAGCGACTATGTGACTGTCCCTGCATCCCTGGGGTCATACGATAATTATTCAGGAACTCAGCATCTGGCTCACAATTACAACATTGCAGCATCCCATAGTCACATAGTCACCATTTGTGAACTTAACTGCTGGCAGGAGGAAGCTGGCAAAAGGTTGCAAATGGTGATCACATGACCACGGGACGCTGCAACCGTGCAGGATTCACCTAACAATGGCAACTGGGACTGCCAAAACTGCTGTCATTAAGTCAGTGAGATCACATGATGTTGTGCTTTACAACCACATCACTTAGCAATGGAGTTCCCGGTTCCAATTCCTGTTGATAAGCAAGGACTACCTGTATAGCTTATTGATAAGCAAGGACTACCCACAAGCTTACTGATATAACTGGGCTGCATAAGGTTGCATGGCTTTAAGAGAAGTGTATTAACTTTTAGGGACTCTACTTTGCCTCTGATGATTTTTAGACTGAAAAATTACCTGAGGAGATTTTGCCTTGTTCCCATAGGGGTTTTCAAGGGTGATCGCATTGACCCCCGCCTCCAAGCTGGGAACCAAGCCAATCATTTGGGGAGGCTCAAAGGCAGGACTCCTCTGGTCTGTGCCTCCCCCCTCTGCAGCCAGGAGAAGGCCTAAATTCAATCTCCCTCAAGGTTAAACAATAAACATTGCCTTAGAAAACACAGAAGGGAGGCACGAGAAACCTCAACCAAGCAGAAAATTAATCTATCAGAAAATGTAGATGAAGAGAATGAATTAATCCATCTATTGAACATCCTCCTTCGGGTTGAGCAAACAGAAATAATACAAAAATTGGATGCAGTAAAAAACATTTTGGTGTCAATTGCTTTTGCCACGTAGTGACTAAATTCCACAATTACCCAAAGAAAGTTTCTATCTAGACTTTCTGCTTGTGGATGAGGGTTTTTTTTAATATAACCTATGTTGCAAAGTTTTGTTATCTAGCATCACATCTTAGGCAGTGGATCCACAGTACAATTTAAAATGGATTGCCGTATATGCTTATTTGTGTTTATCTATTTTGACTCTCCTTTTTCCTTTTAACTGTTTTATTTACCAGCCAAAGGGCATAATAAATAAAACTGATTGATTCTGCAAACTTTTCAGCAAAGGCAATTCCACAAACAGTACATTATATGGATGTGGTGCATGTGTACTGTAATTCAATTCTAGGTTCTTTTTTTCCTTGACAGCATACAAAATTGGTTTAGAACAGTCATAGCCAGCTAAGTTTCCACAGACAGTACTGAATCAAGAAGTATGAACTTGGTTTTTGGGTCCCCTTCCCGTTTATCAGATTTCCCCATCCATAATCCTTCTGTTTTATCTGAATTAAATTCATTTGCTCCCATCCATTCCAAAACCACGAATAAGTTATTCAGCTTCACCAAGATCGGCAATCTTCCAATCCATTCCTAGGTGTAAGTAATTCACCGTGTATTGGAATTAAGGGTGCCTTGGTGTCAACACCAGATCTAAACTCAGACTGAAGTGGTTTGAAGTTTCAGTGTCCTCCAAGATTCCTTGGAGCTGAAAAAGCAAAATCTTGCTTAAGTATAAGAAACTAAACACAGGTGAATAATTATCACTCTGCAAGCACCATTCTGACTTTCAAAAATGACTTACTACTTCTAAAGTAAACTAGAATACCTCAGTGTTGCATAACAAAACCAAGTAATGAATATGTATGATTCTCAAACAAATATTATAAGCATTTATTTTCCATGTCATGGGACAATACCACCTTCATCCATTAACTAACAGCCTGGCTTCAGGAAATTTCTAAGTACTTAATCTATAAACTACATTCCAGCAAGACTGTGGTGCTTTCTTTTGTTTCTTGATCTTGCTTACTATATGAAGAGACAAGCAGAAATACATTAAAGTTCTCTTAATTATTATGCCTATATAATAAAAAGGCAAAGTGGACTATGTAACCACAATTTGATTTATGCACTGAGAAAATGTAGCTTTATTTATTGTAAACTAGTATAGCCAAATAGCTACCACAAATTCTTGTCCAAGCAATGCATCAATTATAATCTGCAAAAAATTGGTTTAAATTCAATTAATTATTCTTTTCCTCCCTCCCCAGTCCCATTGAAGATCGTTTTGATTCTAAATAAATTCACAGAGAAAGTCTTACAATGTAAACTTACCAATTTTACTCCAGCCAGGAAGTAATGGTAGTATATACTAGGAGATCTCCCTATGTCCAGCACTGAAATCTTATGTTCTTATACTGACTTTAGAAATTCCTATTGAAGTCAGTATAATTTTCTTCCAAGCAGAAATACACAGAGCTAGAGTGACTTAATAAGAAGAAATGGGCAGCTGTCCCATAGGGCATCCTTGAGAGATAGGTTCAAACAATCTCCTTTGAGATGAGTTTAGCATCTGTTGAACTTCATGGACATTCCCATAATTTTCCTGGCAACAATACAGAAGTGCTTGCATGCCTTTTTTTCTGACTTATCAAACTAGCCTTTCCATCCAAGAATGTAATGGTATGCGGGAATGACCTTGGGAGACAGGAGGAAGAGCTGCAGATTATGTAAGGGTCAGATAAGAGGCAGCTGAGCCGCAGAAGCAATGTGGGCCTGGCAAACATCTCAGAAGGACCTTCCCTAGTTTCTTGGACTGTAAAGGGGACAAGGGAGAGAGGTACTTTCAAAGTTGCAAGATGCTGTTAATGTAAGATTAAATGTATTGTTTTTACAATAAAAACAGAGCTAGTACTCCTGGTTGTGCTTCTCATCTGGACTAGAGTCCTGGTTCAAAGGACTGACAAAGTATTAATGAGGCCTAACCCTGCAATAAAAACTTACAATAAAAACAGAGCTAGTACTCCTGGTTGTGCTTCTCGTCTGGACTCATCCTGGTTCAAAGGATTAACAAAGTATTAATGAGGCCTGACCCTGCTTAGCTTCCAAGTCCAGCCACGAGCTGCAACCCTCTAAGGCAAATAATAATAATAATAATAATAATAATAATAATAATAATTCAAATCGGCTTTAATTTTAAAAAATGGGATCATCACCACAGATTTCTTCAGACAGTCCTTTTCATTCAGTCACAATTTTAAAATTTATTTTATTTATATACTAGATAAATGTAGTAGGCTGCCCATCTCAAATACATTACTCTGGGTGGATTCATTGATTTCAAATCAATCTCAAACCAAGTTACTGATTTCCTATTGTGGGGTGGGGAAAGTAATTGCATTGGGTTATGCATCTTCAATCACTTCCACCCTTTTCATCTTATAAATGTATGCAATTTCTGTAAAAATTCTATTATTTCTGTCAGGGGTCACCAGAATGATTTATTCTAGAACAAGATTTCTCAAGTTGGGAGTTATGACCTTCAGAGGTTTACACCCAGCAAGGGGGCCTGTGACACAAATGCTTTACCCTGGGCGCTTGCTCAGGCAAAGCAGGGGTGATCTGGCCAAGGAGCCTGGCCAAACTTCTTCCAAGCATCCACCAGGTGAGGGGACAGTCAACCTGATGGTCACAACCATGAGATCAAAGCCCCGCCCCCCTTTTACACCCAATACGTATCAAAAGGGGTGGGGCTTTGATCACATGGTCACAGCTGCCATCTTCACTTTTTTTACCACCCCCTCCACAGATGCTCCTGTACCCACGTTGCGGAACAGTAGCGCTCGAGAACCGCTGTGTTTCACTAATTTAAAAATTAAGCAGTAAAAGTAAATAGTATATTTGGTTACCCCGAACTAAAATGTTCTATTCACCGGGGGGGGGCGGTGTCACATTTATCATTGCACTATTCCAAAGTTGGAGCAATACTGTATTATTAAGAAACAGCCCAAAGCGGCAAAAGGGGGTCGGGTCTCCCAGCCCCTTACTCCTACCGCTTTCGCTTTCTGCGCACGTTCAGGCACGCTTATGTTGACTCGACCTGCGCGGCGCTCCTCTTCCCGGAGCCAAGCGCCGCTTCCCACACCTGCCCTGCGGGATCCACATCCTTTTCCCGGGCGGGCGAACGCACCTTCCTTGCCCCAACTAACGCACGGAGTCGGCTCCGGAGCTCCCGGGCTGGGGCGATCGAAGCCGGCTCGGCTGCCGGGAGAGCAGCCAGCCGCCCCGCTCCTTCGC